CCTGCTGCTTCAGCAGCTTGCACGTGGACACGGGCGCCGGGCCGCCGTACCACGGTTCGAGCGCGCCGAGACTGTAGTTGTCGGTGCACCAGGCGACCTTCTCGCCGGGAAAGAGCTGCTCCTCCTTCTCTACAATGACGACGGGGAGGCGGCCGGCGCGGTTGCACTCGCGCGTGTACTTGACCAAGCTCTTGCACTGGCGGAGCGTCGGGGCGGCGTGTTTCGCCCACTGAGCGTTGCCAACATCTTCGCCTTCCCACACGAACCGCTTTGACCCCTCGAAGTCCTGCGGGCTGTCGTACGGCAGCGTCATGCTCGCGGCCGCAGCGCGTAAATTTTGTGTCACGCTCAAAATTTTCACGCGCAGCAACTTCTTGACAAGACCCACACGTATATAGTGTGGAAGATGTTGGAGCGCTGCTTAGTCAAATGCTTCTGCGTTGTTTTTTTGACAAGAACGGGCCCAGGCGCATTTTGTATACCGAGGCGGTGCCCGGTTTTATTTGTCTCTCTCTTCTTCTTTATTTGTTTCAAGGGCGCGGGTATTTTTTGTTTTTTTAAAGAGCTAGAAATAAGACCTGGCGTGAGGCCGACGGTGGCGGGGATGGCGCGGTGCGCGGTCGGAGGAGAAAGGGGAGGGGCGGAGGGGCGCTGCAGGGGCGTATGTATGTATGTAGTAAGGTGAAGAACAGCCAGGCTCGGACTGGACACCAACGCGGTATGGGTGGACGCTGGAAAGATGATGACGGCACGCACGCCGTGCAAATTGTTTTCTTCTCGCGCTGTCTCGACTCGGGCGCCTACCGCCTAGGCGCTCCTCCCCACCGACTCGCGCTCTCTCGCCTGCCAAAGATCGATGGGCGAGTCGGCCTACAGCTTCTCGCTCACCACCTTCTCGCCCTCTGGGAAGCTTGTGCAGGCGTGCCGCGACTCCACAGCGCCCGGTTGGACGCGCTCGCCGCCCATGCCCGCCGCTGCACGGAACCCACCAGCCTTTCCCGCTGCTCGTCGCCTGCAGATTGAGTATGCGCTGAACGCCGTCGCCACCGGCGCCACCTCGCTCGGCGTGAAGGGTGCGCAATGCCGCCCGCCTGCCCGAGCGGTGAGCGATGACCACCCAGCGCCGACCCACCCCTCGCCTGCCGCCGTGCGCAGCCAAGAACGGGGTGGTGATCGCGACGGAGAAGAAGCTGCCCACCTGCCTGATCGACGAGACGAGCGTCGAGAAGATTGTCATGCTCACCGAGAACATCGCAATCGTCTACTCAGGTTGACCCGCCCGCGCCTCCGTCTCTCTTCTCTCCTCTCGTTGCCCCTCCCTCTCCTCTCTTGTCCCGTCGCCCCTCCCGTCGCCCTTCCCGTCGCCCCTCCCGTGTTTTCGGCCGTACGTATGCCCTTCGGCCCGCCCTTCCTGGCGACCGGTCGCCGCCTACCGGTCCAGGGATCGGACCTGAC